ATTGCTTATTACTATATTACAGGCTTAGACATTTAATCATATAAAAATTCACAAAAAAACAATAATCATAATCAACTAGTTCTATGATCTTACAAGTGAAAGCAGAGAAAATATGTGTAATAACACATCAACTCCACCATAACTGCCATACCCAGTGCAGACAAGGCCTTTCACCCAGTATCAGGGGTTAGCAACTGTAATACGACAAACACAGTAGTGGTTTAGGTACTCTTTATATTATCAGTTTCATGAACTAGCACATTTAAAGAAAACACTACTCACCACCACAACCAAGTGGTCTCTTGTAGAGTTGAGCTGTAGACTTTTTGTTGTCACTCAACATTCGTCCTAGAGAGATAAAGAAATACTTTTTAGTTTTCCCAAACATTCACCTTAGACAGATAAAGAAAATTTTTTTTTACTTTACCCAACATTCATCCTAGATAGAACAGACATAAAGAAGAACTTTTTACTTAACTAACGTTCAACTTAGATACTGAAAATTAACAATACTATAAGAATAATGTTTCAGATCTTGTGCTCTCTTGAAGATTTTACTTTTATCTTGAATGACTCTCATTCTGATGGCCATGATTATGTACCATTTCTCACCACTACAACTCCCAACATAACAAAATTCTGCAGAACAGTGTTTCTCACCAAATGGTCCATCAGAAAAACCTTGTTGATTGGTTGTTTGGTGTTTTATGGCACAAAGCAACTAGGCTATCTGTGCCAAACAACTGGTACAGACAGTAAAAGTAAAATGTAAAAATAAATTGAGTTAAATAGAATTAAAAAGCTTAGATGTTCTTAAAAAAGTAAAGATACAATCAAGTTGGACAGTGTCACCATCGCCAATGACACCATCCAACATCAGGGGGTAAACCCTTACAAAACACATGACTAAAATGGTGCCACCTCTCACAGTCATAACGACGGCACAACAGTAAAATGTGAGCTATTGTGACTTGAGTGTCACAAAGGCTACACATTGGTGGATCGGTACCAGATAAAAGAAAACAATGAGTTAAAAACTGTGACCAATGCATAGCCTTGCCACAACCTCGTCCTCCTTACGGAAACAAGACGGCCACAGAGCAACAGAAGGATTGATCTGAAAAAGCTTGTTATAACATTGCTCACTCAAAAGTGACTGCCAACTGGTGAGAATCTGCGTCTTGAATACAGGACTGTAGTCCATGTATTGGACAGATAAGGCCATGATGACGCCAGAGCAGATGGACTTAGCTGCTGTGTCAGCGAGCTCGTTCCCGCGAATACCAACATGGCCAGGTATCTATAAAAACTGGATGGAAACAGACGATACAGAAAAATGGGCCAGTCGTTGTTGAATATCGACGAGAACAAGGCCAGCAGAGAGCCCAGAGAATCAGTATAAATGGTACAATCACTGTACTGCATAGCTCCTACATGATCTAGGGCAAGAGAAAAAGCATACAACTCAGCAGTGAACACAGAAACTGTAGAGGGGATATTGCAAGCAACTGCCGAGCCAGAGCAAATCATGGCAGAGCCTACAGAGTCACCCAATTTCGAACCATCTATGCAAATGGGAATAGAAGGGTGGTTCGAAAGATGTTCAGCAAAGAGAAGGTGGTACTTCTAATCTGGAGTATCAGGCCTTTCTCAGATGACTCAAGGAAAGATCACAGGCGGGGATGCTACTTAGCCATGGTGGGATGAGCTGATCATTGGGGACAGCAAGGTTATCTAATGCTAGACCCAATTCAGCCAGTTGTGCCCAGATACGAAGGCCAAAGGGAGGAATTGCAGACCATCTGGTCTGAAAGAGCACAGCCCACCGAGGAAGAAAGACACAATCCCAAGTGTGCTGCTGTGGTAAGGATTGAAGCTTGGTAGCATATTGTAGAGAAAGTTGCAAACAACGGAGGTGAAGAAGAGGTTCGTGGAACTCAGTGTACAAACTCTGGACTAAAGAAGTGCAGAAGCCCCAAGCAGAGCCAAAGCCCCAGATGGTGAATGGGGTCCAGCATTTTCAAGGCCGAGGTCCTGGCAGAACCACAAACCAAAGACCCATAGTCCAGTTTGGATCGAATCAGGGACAATAGATCCTGAGCCTAGAACATCGATCCACTCCCCAAGAGGTGGAAGAGAGGACACAGAGGATGTTCAGTGCCCCTATACACTTGACATCTAGCTGCTTGATGTGAGGAATTAAAGTAAGCTTACGGTCAAAGATAAGCCTCAGGAACCACACGAATAACAACACTGCCAAGACAGAGCTCAGGATCAGGGTGTAGACCCCGATGGTGGCAAAAATGCATGCAAACGGTTTTGGAAAAAGAAAACGTAAAACTGCTTGCAGTGGTCCACTTCAATAAGTGATTGAGGGCAGTCTGAAGCTGCCACGCAATACACCTCATGTTCGACGACCAACATGAGATGTGGAAGTCATTGACATAGAGCCCATTTGGAACAGTAGGAGGAAGGTGTGTAGCGATAGCATTAATTTTGACACTAAAAAGTGTGACACTCAAAACACAGACCTGAAGGACTCCAAGTTCCTGTGGAAAAGAATGGGAAAGAGGCAAACCCACATGGACTTATAATCACCTGTCCAGTAAAAAATTCTGAATAAAAAATGGGTAAATGGACACACAACCCACAGGAGTGGAGGGTCCTACAAAATATCATACCTCCATGTAGTATCATAAGCCTTCTCAAGATTAAAGAACACGGAAACAAGATGTTCACTCTTGAGGAAGTCTTCCCTGATCAACGTTTCAAGTCGAATCAGATGGTCCATAATGGAGCATTGTTGACAGAACCCACACTGGGTAGGTGAGAGGCAGCATAAGTCTGTCTTTACGAGTGGAGATATGACACACAGCAGAAAGTCCTTGGCTGGAGAAACCAGCGAGGATCTCCGACTCTGGGATTTCTTCAAATCCCTCTCGACAATAACTCCTCGTGAGGAATTCAAAGTAGCTTGGGGAATAACCTCAATGGGTATATCCCCAATGGCCTTTGAATTCAAGGAGTTCACTGTGATTTGGTGTTGATGTTTCCACCAAGATGTCCCCAGAACGTAACTTCTTGACTGACTTTGGAGAGCCAGCAAGCCCCTCTAATCCCTTCTGAATAAAAAGGGAGACATTTACCCAAAAGGTTTTTCCAACAAAGAATGCATGATAAGAAAACAAGGTAAAGGTGCACAATGGGGTGTAGAATGTTTTTCAGAGTCTTCAAGGCATGGTCATTTACCAATGAGCGAAGTTTTACTATTCTATTTTTATTAGGGTTTGGGGGATCCATAATATAAAGAGAAAGATTCAGTACCCACTGACCCCACCCACCATGGAGTCCTACAAGGGGACACACTACAATGTCAAAAAAGGACACTGTAGCAACATCAGGGTTTCATGAGCACTATACCCAAACACCAGCACCAGACACAATGTCCACAACACCCGTTGAGAATGCCCAACACCGGTACTCAGTCGACACTAGACCGACAGGACCAGCCAATTGACCCTGGGTGGCCACCCGTCTACAGTGGTGTGTTGCAGTGCCCAGACACCACTCAACCACCAGGATCTTCTCCTCCGCTTCACGAGTTGCCATACTCAGCAAACACGTAGGTGGATGATTTGATCCCAGAGGAGGTAACTGAAAATACAGAACCATCCCTGGGAGGTCCCCTCACCACATACAGGAATCCACCTCAAGGGGACCTTGTTGCTCCCTGGTATCAAACAGGTTGAGAAACACTGAAGATGGCTAGGTTAATCTTAGACCATACATCTTTGTTAACTTTTCATAATCTCTCTACTGTAGGAGAACACAAGCTTCCAAGACCAAAGCTACAAAAGTCTACTGGAGCTGCACTGGAGACTTTGCAGTTATGCGTTTAATTGAGATTGCCATGATTCTAGTTTCTTCAGTTATCTCTCATTAAAAGAGGAAATAATTTCAAAGTGTCATTGGAAGCTTGTGAACTTCTGAATTATGAGTCTTGTTAATTTAAATTTCAAATCATTGTTTATCACCTAGTTACTAGCACCAGAATATATCTCCATCTTCATTGCAGTAGCTTTTTGAGTCTTTCATAACCATAATCTTCACTTTGCACAAGAGAGTTGCTCTGGATTGACTTAGGATGTGGTTTCAGAGTCCAGTGTTGTTGTAAATGCTTTACTGTATGAATTTTTTTTCACTTCCATGGAGTACACTGAAGGCTCCAACCATTGAAACATTGAGTCATTGAGCTCTACATCATTTAACAATACCATTATTTAAAAAAATCCTCAGAAAGGGTTGTGATATGTATTCCTTCAGCTTTAAGTCTATCTTGAAAGCATTCCACTATCAAATGGTAAGAAATTTACAGGAATTTATTGTGAATCAAATACATAGGTGTTAAACATGTAACCTATAGCATCAAGCTCAAACCTACAGTAGCATACTTTATCTTCAAAACACAAATGTACTTACCTGTCTTTATACTATATACAACCATATACAATTCTTTAGTGAGACCAAGAACACTTACCTATCCTCATAACGTGAACAATTATATACATATCTCTATTTAAATCTGCATTTCCTAGGTCCTGAAAATAAACACAAGAAATTGATATCAGCTTCTGTAAACTTTAAGTTATAAAAAATGCACAGAATGTAAACTTTAGTTAATACTAGTAACCTCACAATCATGGCAGAACCACATCTACAGTGAAACTTCTCTAAACTGGTCCCTTTTGATATTGAACATATTTTCAAGTGATGGCTGAACTACTATAATTCTTATGTATTACAAGGCCTTACAATACCACCAACCTATCTAAACCACACACACTGGCCACTTCCCATAGATGTTGTGGGTAGTTTTATAGTAACTCCAGCTTACTAAGGAAGTAAAAAGTTTTTTCCATCAGTCATGGTTTATAAAAATAAAAGATCATGAGGCCCAATCTCAAGTTTCTCAGCATGATTTAGGTGAAAAGTATAAAATAGGCAAATATACAGCTGGTGACATAATAAGAAAGAAAGAAATCTACTTACACAATCTGAGCTCTAAGCAAATTCATCAAAACAAAGATTTAACATTGCATGCAAAATTTTAGACATACATAACACTGTATCGAAATGGTTCAATTCTGCCAGAGCAAACAGGCACACTAATATCTGGACCTGTCATCCAGAAAAGGCTCTTCAATTAATAAATTCTCTCACTACTCGACTTAAAAGTTTCAAATGGTTAGTTAGATCGTTGGTGAATGTAATATACTGTCAACACCTTCAAAGTTAGTGGAGAAAGTACAAGCATTGATACAGACACAGTTGATAATTACATCAGAATGCCTAAAATAACAACTGGTTACAACCTAAAAGATATCTTTAATCATGATGTGATCGAACTTTTCTAAAGAGCACTATACAACAAGACACCAGCCGTAAAAGACATTTCCTCAAAGGTGGTGAATCTGGTAAAGAGGCTCGCAGTAATGTCAGCTTGCAATTCATGATTGGGAAAGCAAAACCTTCAGTATTTTGAGAATGTCAGCATCTACCTATCCACTACAAGGCAAACAAAATGGATAAGAACTGTCAATGTGAGTTTACATATTCCATATCATATTAACTCTATCACCATGGGTATCCTTTACTGCATGTGACACAAGGTTTTAGTGTCTTACATTCAAAATTGTATTAAATTACTTTTTGTGTATGTTATACCAATTAGAATAGCATAAAATCTCAGCTTATAATGCATATTTTAATAGAATATAAGTTTTAAGTTCTTAACTTACAAGCCAATATTTAAAATCCTGAATTTCCTCTAGTGAGACCCACGTGACACATTTTCTCTTAGTATGTCATCATCCCTATTTTATCCACCACCCCTTGAAAAAGTACAAGATTAAAGGTAAAGTACTCTTTATAAAATCGTTAATGCTCAGACAAATCATAATTTTTATAGCTTTCAATTTTGTTTGGTAACAGAGCTATTGAATAGAAAATCAGACCCCTCCTTCCACACACCCACTTGTCACATCCTCTATTTCAGAATTCGTTGACAGTTCTCGCTTACGTTTCATTATATATTACCTATAACCAATAGAAAGTCAAGGTTTTCATCTATCAAATGACGTATTGTATAACATTATGTTCTGAACACAGAGTAGTCAATTTCACTCAGAGTAGCAACATCATTCCTGTGGGAAAGTTAACGATTAGCTTGGATGAATTTGTAATGGCTCTTGTCGCATAGTTAGAAAGCCAGAAAAATTTTGAGAGGTAAGGGAATTTATCTGCTTTTTACATATTATTAGTCTATATTTTTTGGTGCATTATTTAATTAAATAAAAATTATTAAGTGCATTATTATCATTAGTATAGAAAATTAAAGTTAACTCTCTTCAAAAACCAATAGCAAGAAAAAAGAAGATTGGTCAAGTATTTTTATTTATTCTATTACAATTATTTTTTCGTTTATAATTATACATATAACATTTTTATTATAATAATATTATTATAAAAATGTTTTATGTATAATTATAAAAGTAACTAAAATGTAAAAATAGGGATCCTTTTAGGTTTGTTAAGATTAAGTAAAATAAATAATAATATTATAATAAAAATGTTTCACAAGGCACATATGCGAGCAGCTCGTGGGTAATGTAATTTGATAGCGTAACGTGAGCTGCATGTTCCCCAAGTGATTTACAACTTATAATAGGGTAGTTAGACGCAGTTCAAAGAACAATAAAATAATAAAATATAATGATAATTAATTTTACACTGTTACGAACTTAGAGCTACTTAGGATAAACAAATGTAGTTTCATGTTACAATTTGAAGTCATTCTAGAAAAAAAAAAAGTGTAATATAAGTTTATTTTGTTTTTTTGGTGGTTACGAAATCGGTCGAATTGACTAATCCCGTTTTGAGATAGAATAGAGAGAATAACAGATAAAATATAAA